AGTTGGGAGAGACCGAAGTTAGTCTTCGAGATACGTAATTTCTTGGGATTGGTAGGGTACTACCGGAGGTTTATCGAAGACTTCTCTCGACTAGCCACACCTATGACCAAGTTGACCCGGAAAGAGGTCAAGTTCTAGTGGGATGAATCTTGTGAGAAAGCATTTCAAGAGTTAAAGAAGAGACTTACTTCAGCTCCGATTTTGATAGTTTCGGAGAGGGACAGAGGTACACAGTGTATTGTGATGCCTCCAAAGACGGACTTGAGTGTGTTTTGATACAGTTTGGGAGCGTGGTAGCTTATGGTTCTAGGTAGTTGAAGAGCCACGAGCAGAACTGCCCCACACATGACTTGGAGTTAGCGACTATTGTTTTTGCCTTGAAGGCATGACGCCACTATCTATATGGAGAACAGTTTGAGGTATTTTTGGACCATAAAAGTTTGAAGTACATCTTTACGCAGCGGGACCTCAATATGAGACAGCGCAGGTGGATGGAGTACCTAGAGGACTATGACTTCACTTTGCATTACCATCCCAGTAAGACAAATGTGGTGGCTGATGCACTGAGTCGGAAGTCACGGGGAGTTTTGGACTAGTATAGCTTCCCAGGAGTGGTTGATGCTTGAGACTGTTGGACAGTTCAAGCTACACTACAGAGGTCAGACTCATGGCACTTTGGGAAGTCTAGTGGTTACGCCTTCCCTACTAAGCAGAGTGATCGAGTCCTAGGGCCAGGATACAGAGATATTGTCTATTAGGGATCGCGTACAGTCGGGTACAAGTGACGAGGGCTGGACCATTCACACGGATGGTAGTCTTCGGTTCAGGGGAAGGGTTGTGGTTCCCCAGTCTGCAGATTTGAGAGAGGAGATCCTTAGGGGTTTCATTGCTCCCGTTTTGCTGTGCATCCAGGTAATACAAAGATGTACCATGATCTTCGCTGTCAGTACTATTGGAATGGAATGAAGAAGCACGTTGGAGATTTTGTTAGTCGATGTCTCATATGTCAGCAGGTCAAGGCTGAACACCAAAGACCAATAGGGTTGCTCCAACCTTTGGAGGTGGCTGAGTGGAAGTGGGAGCACGTCACGATGAATTTTGTGACTCACTTGCCACAGACATCGCGAGGGTATGACGCAGTGTGGGTGATAGTGAACCGGTTTATAAAGTCGGCACACTTTTTGGCAGTACGGATGACCTTCACAGTGGGGGATTTTTGTAGACTGTATATACGGGAGATAGTTCGATTACATGGGGTGCCCGTATCTATAGTATCCGATCGAGACCCTAGATTCACGACCTATATTTGGGAGAGTTTTCAGCGGGTTATGGGAACACAGTTGATGATGAGTACCGCTTTTCATCCCCAGACGGACGGTCAGTCAGAGAGGACTATCCAGACCTTAGAGGACATGCTACAGGCATGCGTCCTTGATTTCAAAGGTGGCTGGGAGGAGCATTTATCATTAGTAGAGTTCGCCTACAACAACAGTTATCAGGCGAGTATACAGATGTCACCCTATGAGGCACTTTATGGGAGGCCGTGCCGTTCTCCGATTTGCTGGACCAAGGTTGGAGAGACACCCTCTACGAGTCCGAATTTGATTAGAGACACTTCGGAGAAGGTGAATTTGATACGAAAACATCTTATCACGGCTCAGAACCGGCAGAAGAGCTACGCCAACAGACGGCGGCGACCTCTAGAGTTCGAGGTCGGAGATCATGTCTTCTTAAAGGTGATGCCTAAGAGGGGAGTGGTCAGGTTCAAAACGTGGGAAAAGTTGTCGCCGAAATATATCGGGCCCTTCGAGGTACTTGAGAGGGTTGGTACAGTTGCCTATCGGTTGACATTACTACAAAATCTATCTAGTGTTCACACGGTGTTCCATGTTTCAATGCTCCGAAAGTACACTCCAGATCCTACACACGTGGTGGATTGAGGTGAGTTAGTGGTTGATGCGGATGAGACCTTTGAGAAGGGACTAGTGCGTATCATGGACAACCGAGAGTAAGTTTTGCGGAGCAAGACAGTGAGGCTGGTAAATGTGCTGTGGCAGCACTGTGGGGTAGAGGAGGAGACATGGGAGCGTGAGAACACTATCCGAGCTACTTATCCATTTTTGTTCGAGAATAGAGGTACATCTCTTACAGTCATAGAGTATTTAATGACTTTTTGCATATGCATGTCGTTATATGTGTATGTGGGTATAATTTCGTGGACAAAATTCTCTTAAGGGGGAGAGAATGTAAAACCCGAAAAAAAATTATTATTATTATTAAAAAAATCATAATTAAAGGGGTAAAATAATAATTAATTGTTAAATTATTGGTCAAAAATATAAATTTTTTTAAAAAAATAATAATAATAAATTTATAATATATATATATATATATAAGTGGAAGACTTTGTCTTCCACTTTTTGGTTTTGTTGGAGAAACGGTGAGACAGAGAGTAAGAGAGAGAAAAGTGAGTGTTTTGTTTTTTTTTTTTTCTTTTTTCTCAGATTTACAAAGATTGGACTGTTTAATCACTTCGGACCAAGAAGTAAAGTTGCTCTACTCAGCGAGAGCTACACAATCACACCAAATATCGTATTTTTCTCCGAAAGAATATCAAAGCAGATAATTTAGGACTAAAATTTAGGAAGCTAAATTTGGGCTTACTTGGCGTTTTAGTAAGTGGTTTCATGCTACGAGAGGTAGAGTTTCCCTTATTCAGATTTAATTTCAACTTAAAATATGACATATGGAATGAATAGACTATGAGTGTATATCACATGTTAGGTCTTGACTAATGTGACTAGTGAGTCAAATATAGAATTTATAATTAACCTTGCGATTAATAAAATTCTATTGTGATTAACTTGGTGTAAGTTAATGTTAGTGGTTTAAAGCATGTTAATTGTATATTAGCATTACTTTATATTTTAATGGCAGATCAAGTTTAATAAAATTATTAACTTATTATGTGAATATGAAATAATATGTATATTAAATGATTATTTAACATATGATTATTTTGGTGGACTTGTGCTTATGTTTATATAATTAATAAACATGTTGTCATGTTGCAAGTCATAGCACGCTAGTTGTGTAAATTGATGTGCTCTTTAAGTATTTGATTAATTGCCTAGATGAATACAAGTATGTTAGTTGAGTTGATTATCTTATATAACATGCTTGAGATCATGTTAAAATGTCATTATATTGTATTCATTATGTAATGGACATTGTATTGCATTATGCATGAGTTGCACTATATTCATGAGCATTGACATGGGTGGGAGTGTGTATGCATGGTATGAAATCAATCACCACGTAGGTGGTTGATCGTGAACTTGGAAAAGTCGCACCAATGTTCGGCTGAGTCGCACGAAAAATTAAATGGATAAATGTGTTGGGGACAACAAGAAGGGCTAGATTCTTCCTCGGGTGCAAGACCCGCTTACTTGGTTTATACACTTTTCGGCGGTGAAATTCCAGAAAAGTGTAACGGTGGAAACGGAGCCGCAGGTGGGATGTCCTGAAGATCCGTTGATGGTTGGTGTCTAATTGGTGTAATGCCATAAATCACCTCCCCACAAAGACACAAGAATATGAATTAATTAGTCATTAAGTGTACATAACAGCAATGATGGGGGCTTGGAATGCCCAGATACATACGCATGACATTGCATGTGTTATGGGAGCTTAGGATGGGGCTCGGGGTTGGTATTGCTAGCGTGAATCTCATCTCATGGCATGACATGATTTATGACATTCAATCATAATAGACATATATGAATGATTGTTGCATGTGACATTCCATATGCATTTAAATTGAGAGGTATTTTCTATAGGAGTTACTCTATTAAGCGTTGACTCACCCTTTATGGGAACATTTTTCAAGTGTCGCACAGGTGTCCACCGATGGCGAGGCCATGAGCCCGCTTTGACGACAGAGCTGGTCTGTGGCTCTTATTTTGACATTGTAGTCTCTTGTTTATACTTACTTTTGGCCTTATATAATTTTTGTAACAAACATTTGTTTATATTTATAAAGGCATGTATATAGGACTCTTTTGAGACATTTATTCTTTTAAGAATAAATGTATGTACTGATGATGATTATGGTAGTATTCGAGACTATACAATTGTGAATAGATGGATAGACCCGGTGTGGTCAATATTGTACAAATTATTTTTTTTGGGTAGAGTTCCTCGTACAAAGGAGATTTTGCTCAAATTTTGTTAAATTATAGATCCCAAAAAATGAGACATAATGGTGTGATATCGAATTACACGATATCCACTAATATTTCGTAGGTCGATAAATGATCAATCGAATAATTACAAACAATCAAATTTTAGGGTGTCACAATAAGAGATAATGATTAGGTATAATGATTCACGATTGAGTGTCCATCAATAACCTCCACTATTGGTTTATGTCAGTGGGGTGAAAGCCCACGTGTGGTGTCAGACATTATGACAATGCCAAGTGGCAGATTCTTCCTGACTAGGTACATGTAAATAATGATTGATATAATTCGGCTGTCTTATTGTTTGAAGTTGTGATCATTTAAAGTGCTCTTAGGTCCGGATTGTGTTTGAGATTATATCCATTAATAAGCATAATGAATTCATCAAGTGACATCCAAAATACAAGCTTGCATTCAAACAACAATCTACGTAAAAACCCTTATATATGATTTTGCTACCTAAAGCATGGGAACCACATTGCCATGAAAGTTACGATTTAATTCGGTCAGATTACGATTCAAACAATTTAAGTTAAATTTATCCTAAGTTAAATTTATCTAAAATTATTTGACCGCATTAATCAATAACTTTGACCACGATTTGATTTCATTAAATCATAACTTTTTCCGTTGTGAATTCTTTTGATTTCTCCATGGCTATGTACATACGCAAAGTTAAAAAGAACCAATATTACACATGATCCAAATGAATTAACCAAAAAGTCAAAAACTAACAACAAAGTGGGCATTGAATCAAACCATTCTCATTGCACTCGCCACACTTCACTGTCATCTTCCCATCATCCCCCACCACTTTACAACTCCCATTGCAGTCCATACATATCACAAACTGGACCCCGGCACAGCCCTCGCACCACCCGGCGGCGACCGCCCTCGGAATTCCACAAAACATATTCCCCAATTTGCCCTCCTCCTCTAACTTCACAATTTCATCAGCTCCCCTAATCAACCTTCCCCTCACAAACACCACTGGAACTTTCACCTCTTTTGTGCCCATTAATCCCCTCAGTTCTTCCTTAAACCCCGAATCCATCGACACATCACGCTCAAACATCTGAACATGGTGTGATTCGATGACCGATCGTGCAATGTTGCAATCCTCAAATGTCTTCCTGATTCCCCTCAATGTGGTGGTGTATATGACAACTCCATTCTCAACACCTTGAGGACATTCGCTCTGAAACAACTTTGAATTGGATTCTGAATCCTGTGAATTTCTGGATTTTGGTGTAATGGGTGTCGCTGAAACCATTTTCTTGATCTGTTCTTCCTTTTCGGACATTTCTCTCTCCAAAAACGCAACAAGTTCTGGATCAAACAGTGGGTCTAAACTCTGCCGCCTCAATGAAACAACCTCTGAATCGACCCTCAATCCATCACATTTCAAATCTGGACTTCCCCTCATTGAAATTCTCGAATTTGGTGAAATCTTCGACGAATTTTCTGGGAAATTACACTCTTTCAAGACCCTTTTCGGGCTATAATCCAACCGTCCCGAGTCGCCATTGATCCGTCTCTGGCTCTCTTTGCCTCCAAAGTTTTTGAACTTCTTTGGGGAAGCCATATGATTCAAAAACTTCAAAGGACTTCTACTAGCATCCATGTCTGTAAACCCATGAAGCAACCCTCTCGATTTGGGGTTTTTCTTCGCTTGAATCCAAATGGGTACTTCTTCGTCAAGATCTTTCATGAGCTCCCAAGCATTAACTATCTCTGGTTCTTCGCGAGGTGGCGATCTCTTCGATTCAATGACACATTCTTTGATGGGTGGTGATGGTGGTAGTGGTGGTGGTGGTGGTTCTTCGTCAAGTTTAAGAACACCATAAGTGCTTGAAGTGAGAGAGACAACATGGTGGTTGTAGTCTCCATTTCCAACCAAAATCTCTTGTTTCAGATCTTTCCTGAATGATTTGGATGATACACAGCCCATTGGTTTGGGAGATTTTGACTCCAGTTGTATATGGTTTTTGTCGTTTTCTCAAAATTTTTGAAGGAAAGTGAGAGGGAGAAGGAGAAGAGAGAGTGGAACTTCCTTCTATAAATTCCTTTACCGTTCCCTCGTCTGCAACATGTCCCAACGGTTCCAAAATTCAAATAGGACTCATCGTGGTAATTTTGTAACAGATCGACGAGGACTTAATTCAACCGAACAGTTACGTAATTTAATTAATCAATAATATAAATATAAATAAGTTAAACCTTCTAATTTGAGATAAAAAAAATACTATATGTGATAGTAATAATGTGATATAATCGATTAATAATATTCTCATACACGAATCATGACTAATACCACCAATGTGTGTAATTATGGAGGAATGAGATAGAGAGAAGAGGAGAGAAAGAGATCGAGAGATATGAAAATGGGAAGAGATCAAGAAAGATGTGTCATTTGAACTTGTAACGAAAAAAACCCATGCAGTATTCATGTGACGTATATACCAGAGGCAAGCTTAGTCAATGAGTCTAGTCAAATCATGTTTCTAAACCATGTAAAATTGTAAATCTTATCTTGCTAATAATTGTTCAACCTATACTTAGTCTATTTGATAATTGTATCGTCTATAATCCGTGTTTAATCGAATTTATATTGTGTCTAGTTAAATTCTTATCGATTTGTTTACTTCTCATGTATCGGAGATTCACTTGTTTACCACACAAACCTACTAAAACATACTCCAAACTCTCTAAGTCGGTGTCAATTTCGAGTTGAGTCCACGATCGTGTGTAAATTGTCAATCCTACATACTAAGGGGTTCAGTTTAATTTTAGAAACAAGAGAGGGCGCAACGAAAATGCCAACTATTAAACGGGGTGTCATTGTATTTATAGATTAGTATATATCTTCATTACAAAAAAAAAGAATTACATTAGAGGGGAGTTAAGAGTATTCTACCTTCCGTTATCTCATTTGATTTGTTTATATAAAAATTAATTTTAATCATCCTATAACTTCTCATAATTCCTTAGTTTTTTTTAAGTGGTTAGATAGAACAAAGGAGAAATGTGAGAATTAATGTAAGAAAAATGTTAAATAGACATAAAAAAAATTGATTTAAAAATTTAATTTGATGAATCACTACCATTGAATAAGTAGTGAGACTCAATAAATACTGAGACCCACATGTAATTAATCTTAATTTGAAATGAGTATCTTAATACTAGTAATGAGATAACCGGATTTCAATTACCACAATAATATCATATTTAGTGTTTGCTCATTATCAGTAATCTAGCGTGAGAATTAATGTTATTGACAAATTGTTTTAGAAAATAACTTAATTTTAGAACGGCGATTGATTTTAAGAGGAGGATTTAATTTTTGAAATGAAATTAATTTTAGGAAGGAATTTTATTTTGAGATTTTTATTCTTTTTATAAAATACCCAAGTAAAGTAGGTATGAGATTACCACCATTGACCATGAGTTTAAGATACACACCATTATTGAAAATTGGATTATGATAATAATCTTATATCTGAGTTAAATTACTGAATAACTGACTTTCAAAATATGGTAATATATGATTTATAAATGAGAATTCCAATCCCAATCAAGTTTATTGTCAGCCAAAGGGGTCTTAGTTTAATCACATTGTGTGTTTACTACTAGTATACCAAGGGTTTTGCATACATGATACTCGTGTGTGGATAGACAAGAAGATAAATGTTAAAAAGTGGGAAGAGATTGAAAAAGATAAATCTTCTTTTTTGACCAAATTGAAATAGATAAATCTAGACGGTTAAATATAATTAGATAAAAATTTAGATGATTAAATATGTTTAAAGAAAAATCCATAGGTAATTATAAGATAGTCAAGTATGGTGAAAGACATAGTTATTAGTTCTTCTAGCATATTGTCGATTAATGTCCGCTTGTGAAATAGATAGTAGTGTGTGATTATTGTAGACAACCTATGGCTATTATAGTCATTCTATAGGCGGATACAAAAATTCACCTCCCTTAATTTATAGTATATATGTCTATTTACCCATATAGAAGGTAGTGAGAAAATTTGGTGTTATATTCATATACTAGCAAAAATCAAACTATTGATCCTCCAAAGTTTATATTTAAAATATTATTTTAGTTTTTTTAATTATGTTATTTAAAATTAAAATGAAGAGAAATGTAGGTATGAATTGACGAGATTGTATGACATTGAAAAGTGTATTGATGTGTTTATTGAGCTATCTCACATTGGGTGACGTGTAGAGAAATTGAGTAGCTCCATCTTAATCTTTGTTGTGCTTTTATAAGTTCAAAAATAGTTTACAATTTAAATCTCAAAAAATAAATAAAATGACTTTTACTATTCGCAGTTGAGATCATTTTAAATTTTATTTTAAAGTTAATTTAACGGCTAATATTAACACTCTAAATTTATAGGAAAAATAGGCCCTTAAAGGTGTGTTTGAAATAACTTTTAAAAAGTACATTTAGAAATTATTTCTCATAAACACTTTTAAAAAAAATAGTGTTTGAAACCATCCCACCACTACCTCTACCACCACCACCGCCATCGCTACCGCCACCGCCACCACCACCATCGCCAATGCCGTTGCCGCCACCACCACCGCCATTACTGTCACCCATAGTTATCAGAATCGAATCGGACATCGAACCGGCAGAGGGACCGAATCAATGGTTTAATAGTTCAACCACTGGGTCAATTGGTTGGACCGATCGACTAATAAAAAAATAAAAAAATAAAAAATATAATAATTTAGCTAAAAAATATAAAACATGTACCTAATACATATAATTTACCATAAATTAATTAAGTATAAAAAAAATACCTGTGTTAAAAATGAATTATTGTTAAGAAAATTTTGTTTTTAACATCAGTTGACAAGAATACTAAAAAAAAACATCAGTTAACTTAACCAAATAACTTAACATCAGTTAACTTAACCAAGTAACAACAACAACTGTTGAACAACCTATTATGATACAAGACCTGTGAAGCTTGAGCAATAGACTGTGACCTGTGAAGTTTGAGGCTTGAGCAATAGGCTGTGAGCCATGAAATTTGAGCAAAGAGGCATCGAGTGGGCTTGAGCTAAGAGAGATCAAGTGGAGATCTGTGAAGCTTGAGCAAAGAGAGATCGAGTGGAGACATATGAAGCTTGAGCAAAGAGAGATTGAGTGGAGAAGGAGTTGCTCGATCAGACCTTAGTGGAGAAGACGATGGAGTGAAGCTTGATCTGTGGAGAAGACGAAGGAATTGCTCGATCAGACTTGGTCCACCAACGCTTGAGTGGAGAAGAGGATGGAGATGATTGGATTTGGGGGTTTTTATGAAAAAGGCAGGAGAACCGCCCGGTTTAACTAAACCGTCCGGTTCACGGTTTTTGGCAAAAATTGGCCGGTTTGATGGTTTTATTCCGATTTAGCTCCTTAAGCGGTTTAATTCAAGAACCGGACCGGCTGAGGTCCCGGTTCACGGTCTAACCGGTAGAACTGGCCGGTCCGGTCCGGTCCGATTCTGATAACATTGCTGTCACCACCACCACCACCGCCCACACCGCCACTGCCACCCTCACCACCACCATTACCGTTGCCGCCACCACTACTATCATCGCCATCGTCATCGCCACCCCCACCACCGCTGCGACCCCCATCACCACCACCATCATTATTGTCGCCGCCACCACGGTCATTGCCACTCACCACAACCATCACCGTCTCCTACCACCACCAATGTCGTCCACCACCTCTCACCCTTATTACAAATCGATACTTAAATTTTATTATCTTTTCTCTATATTTGTGATTTGATTTTGGATATACATACAAATATGTTTACCACCACCACCACTTTCGTCGTCGCCGCCGCCACAGCCACCACCACTACCACCATCACCATCACCACTACAACCACCCATACCACCGCCACCACCCACACCACCATCATCTCCACTACCGCCAGCGCCACCGCCATTATTGTTGTCGCCAGCGCCACCACCACCACTGTCGTCGCCGCCACCACCACCACTGTCGTCGCCGCCACCACCACTGTCGTCGCCGCCACCACCACCACCGTCACTGTCGCCCACCACCATCATCACCCTCACCACCACCGCCACCGCCTCCACCACCACGATCACGGCCACCGCCACCACCACCACCACCACCACGGTCATTGCCACCCACCACAACGATTTTCATCTCCTATTACCACCACTGCTGTCCATCACCTCTCACCCCCACTACAATCAATGCTTAAATTCTTTTATCTTTTCTCTATGTTTGTGATTTGATTTTGGATATGAATATAAATATGTTTATTATTTACCAATTTTTATTACTCTGCGCTTTCAGACACAAACAATAACTAGTATATAATAAAGTAACTTACAATTCAAATTTCAAAAGATAAACAAAATAACTATTATTCGCGGTTGAGATCGCTTTAAATTTTATTTTATAGTTAATCTAACGGCTAATATTAACACCCTAAATTTAATAAGAAAAATAGGCTCATAAGGTTGTGTTTGAAGTGACTTTTTAAAAGTACTTTTAGAAATTATTTATCATAAATACTTTTAAAAAAAATAGTGTTTGAAATTGCCGCACCACTATCTCTACCATCACCACCGCCATTGTAGCCGTTGCCACCATCATCGCTACCGTTGTCGCCACCATTACCACCACCGCCCGCGCCACCACCACCACCACCACTATTATCGCCACCGTCGCCACGACCCCTGCCACCCCCCACCACCATCATCGCCACCGCTGTCGCCACCACTACCACCACCACCCGCGCCACCACCACCCCCACCACTACCACCCCCAGCACCGCCACCACAGTCATTGTCACCCATCATAACCATCATCGTTTTCTATCATCACCACTGCCGCCCACCTACTATCACCACTGCCGCCCACCACCTTTTACCCCTTACAAACCAATGCCACTACCAC